ATATGTGTGTGTGTGTGTATGTCTGTGGAGTTGGATTTACTGAGACTATATTTTTACACTTGAAACTTCATGATAAAACTTTGTGAGAGTAAAAAAATGTGGTTTTACGGGTCTTACAAAAATAAATTGATCTTATATGATCCCAAATCTCTTTATATATATATATATATATAGAGAGAGAGAGAGAGAGAGAATATAACGAGAATGACACCTATTAAAAAAAATAAGAGAATAATTTTGGGCCAATCATTTCATTAAATAAAATTTTCTTAATAATCATAAAAAAAGACATATATGTCATTTGTTATATATAGATTATATATGAAAATTCATTTATTTATGTAAAGATAATTTAATTAAGCTATTTATTCATGAATTTTTATATTTATAATTTTCATGATTTAAGAATTATTATTTTTAACAATATTTTAAATAAGTGTGATTTATTTTTTATTTAAAGTATTCATTTTATTGAAGTAGTTTATTTAAGAATTTTTTACAATTTTCATCAAAAATCACACGTGATATTCATAATTAATCAATGGTTTTTTCCTAAGAAATAATCACTAATTTTCATCAATATATATAAATATGTATATATAAGATTGGGTTCATGTAAGACCAAAATATTTTCGTGAGACCATTTTTTTACACTTGAAACTTCACAGCAAAATACTGTGAAGGTAAAAGAAAAGTCGAAACTTCACAGGCAAAACACAGTGAAAGTTATCTTCATTGTGAAGTTTCGACTTTTCTTTTACCTTCACAGCGTTTTGCTGTGAAGTTTCAAGCGTAGAAAGGTGGCCTCACGGGTCTCACGAAAACAAACTGATCTCACATGATCCTAGGTCTATGTATGTATGTATGTAGGCAAGTTTCATTAAGAACCTAAAATGAATTAGGAACTTGAAAATCGTCTACAACACGACACATGATGTATTCATCATGAATATGAACATGTTATTCACCATAAATGAGTGATTCATGATGAATAATACGACCATATCCATCATAAAGAGAAACACGACACACTGTGAACGAGTTCCGGACCCCTAATCAGTTTCGGCTTTTTAACGGAACTTTCCTCCCCCCCCCCCCTCTCTCTAGCATATGTATATCTAAGTTTAATTTTCTTAATCATTAAGACATCACCAATCTTAATTAAGATGGGTTGGTATAACATTAAGACTTTACTTTAAGAACTCTTATTAAATTATCCATTAAATAAAAAAAATCATCCTTTTTCATCTTAAAAAATAAATATTTTTTTAAGGTAATTAAAAAATGCAATGTTTTTTTGACCCTACAAACTTTACTTGTCCATCTACCACCAATTATATACAAAATTATAATTCAGTTAATCTTAAAATAACTGTTATATTTTTTTAAGTATATAATATTTATATACGACAAATAGAACAAATAAATTCACACGCCCTTCTCATTCATCTTTAGTGAAGTTTGAATCCTTGATCTTCTAGAAGGCCAAACACTGACATGCCGCTAGGCCAAAAATCATCTGGTAATTGGTTACATTTTTATTTGTATTAAAGTAAGTGCCTAGTTGACTGGTTTTTAAAATGGCAAATTTCATGAAAAAGTAATGTACTTTAACTTGATTCATATTTTGGGTAATGTACTTTCAAAACTTCCATTTTGGTACCTACGATGTAAAATTTTAAACATTTAAGTACACGGGTAACCGGTTGAAACATTAACCGGTTACCATGCTGATGTGGCGGGTGATTTGGTATCCGGTTAATGTTTCAGTAACTAATATTGAGTTGGATACCACACCACTCACTACATCAATATGGTAACCGTTAATGCTTCAACCGGGCATTTAAATGTTTAAAACTTTACATTTTGGGTACCAAAATGAAAGTTTTAAGAATACGTTATCTAAAATAGAAATCAAGTTAAAGTACATTACTTTTACATGTAATTTTTCCTTTTTAAAATAGTTAACTAAATGATCAAATTTACCTTAATTAATACACAAATATTTAAGAGTTGTGAAGAAAAGAAAGATTAATTAAGCATAAATTTATCATTTAGTCAGCTAAATTTTTTAATTATTATATATGTTTAAAGTTGTGAGTTATTTCTACTGTGAACAATATTTTGGGACAGATGAATTAATTGATGTTAGCGGGCTTATAACTGTATTTGTTGGTGATGTTAGTGTCATCAAACATTTTGGTGCAGTTATGATTTACAATGGATCTTCTAGGTGAAAAATACTCACAAATGTTGTCTCTATCACCTTAAATCGACATAAGACGGGAACAAGAGAGTTGAGCTTCCTTGCGGAGTCCTATTGAGAATTACATAATCACATGGAGGCTATGAGCTGTCATTTGTAGTTTAAGGGCTGTTTGTTTACCTCTTAATAGTTTCATTAAGAGGCAGCCTTTGAATCACTAAGAGGTGAATCTTGTTTGACAAAAAAAAACTGTTTTTAATGGTTCTAAAACCCTTTGAATGATTTTGTATCTTGAGTCTCCCTTAATCATTCGGCACCTTAATTCCATTGTAAACAATTACCGACCAATTATATTTCATTTTGCACTATTTCATAAGAGTCTCTTAATCATTTTAACCACTTAATCATTTTGCACAATAACCATTCAGCAACTGCTAAACAGCCCCTTCATCAAAGTTACAAAGAGTAGCTTCCTTGCAAAGGCACCATTTTGAAACACCCAATATACTTTGTTCCATATGAATGTTACGTTACCTTTTTCCGCTGCATGCATGATCCTGTAATCCGACAATTCACAAGTAGAATATTTAACTGTTTGCCGCTGTTAGTTAATTTTGACTTCAATCAAGTGACCTTGTGTATAATTTCAAGTGATTAAAATAATAAGTTCACATTTAGGTGTTAATTCGGTGATTTAATCAGTATTCTACTGATTTTTTGTGTCACTGATTAGATAACATTTATTGTTTGTACCAAAATTTACACCAGTTTTTATGAATTTGATATAAAATCTGGTATTACATGTTACAGATACCTTATCTTAAACATTGTTACTTTAAATTTGTTCCTTTTTCGTTAATTCGATTTTTATATTCATAACTTTTTAACCGAAATCAAACGTCATTTTGAACATTAAACTCTCAATAATGTAATGTCTTGACGGTTCCGTTTTAATCTGTATTTTTTTGGTAATTGTGGGTTTTCGAGTTAGTTTATACGCAGCAACTAATCCTCTGATGTCTATGAAAGGCCTGGAGTTGTAGTAGGTGACCCTCCATGACCACAAGAGTTTTGACAACAACTTCTGGTTCAGGATAAATGGGATTTTCTGTCACTACATTCCCATGAGTCAGTATTTTCTTTTTGGTAATCGTGGGTTTTCGAGTCAGTTTATACGCACCAACTAAACGAGTTTTGACAAGAGCTTAGGGGTTGTTTGATATTTGTTCTGAATATATTAAGTTGTGTCTAAGTATTAATCTGTATGGATAAATTAAGATAAATTATTGCTTGATTTTTGTTCTAAATAAATAATCTGAATAACAAAAATTACCATTTTAACCCTATATCTACGCAAGTGTTGAATTAAACTAAATTGTTTGATAAATATCTAAAAAGACAATAAAAATTAAAATGATATGAATTATTTAAAATAACATAAATAATATGAATTCAATGAGTCCATAACACAATTTTTAATAGCTTAAAAATTAAAATATATTTAAAACAATAAGATATTATTGTCTGATTACAACTTTTAATTTATGCATGTCGATAAACTATTTACTTTTTAATTAAACATGTGATTAAAAAATGTAGGACAAGGGTAATTTTGGAACAAAATGCTAACTTTAATACATTAAGATATGATGAGATAACTTAACACGTTAAGTCAATCTCTTAGGGGCCGTTTACCCAAATGCTTATCAATATGAGTTAATACTATAATTTATTTTGATGCGTAAGATCTTAGTACATCAAAACATATCGAATGCAACAATTTATTGGGTAAACGCTTATCTGGGTAAGAGTCGTCATCCTCACTTACCGGGTAAAACTCCATCATTCTCATCGCTCTTGCTCGGTAAATTCTTGACCCTTCTCATGTTCATCCGAGAGGAAATTTATGCGTTTAATAAACAATCCCTTAGTATTAAGTTAAACCCAAACACTTTAATATAACTTAACAAATTAAAGCTTGTTTGTTAGCAACTTAATGAGCTTAATGAGACCCGCGACTTATTGGTCAATTACATATAACTGTTTGATAGTGGTTTAATGATATATAAAGTGGCTTATTCATAAGTTGTCGGAAAACTTTATGCAGAAAGTCAATTTTTTTTCTACAAACGTGTCCCTCCCAATTAAAAGCACGCATTCCATCTATGAAAAACCTTCTCAAACAAAAACATGCACAATCTATATAGACAGATTAATTCATAAAAACAATTCTATTGATACACACATGACTTAATGAAAAATTAACGAAACAACCCTTTAAGATAACCATCTATTAAACTTATTCATACAACTTATTAAAGCTGAGGGGGTATTTGAGATTGCTTATTTAAAACAACTTATGTTTTTTTGTAAAAATGTTTATTAACTTGCGCGGTGTCAAATCGGAGTTAAATAAAACAGGGTTAAAATTATAAACTGGTAATAAACAGTTTTTAGGGGGTGTTTGGGATTGCTTATTTAAAACAACTTATGTTTTTTTGTAAAAGTGTTTATTAACTTATATGGTATAAAACCGAAGTTAAATAAAATAGGGTTAAAATTGTAAACTGGTAATAAACAGTTTTTCATAAGTTAGGAAAGATTAACTTATCAAAAACAGTTTATTACCGGTTTGGCACCGGTATAAGCATTTTTTTTCCTTATTTAAACACCAAAAAACAGTTTATCACTAATACTAGATTAAAATAAATTAAAAAAACAACTTTTATAAGCAATCTCAATCATCCAGAAACAACTTTTAATCAATTCAGCATAACGCAAGTGGTTATTTCATTATGCCATTATCGATGGAATAAAGTATATGTGAGAAACAGCTAAACTGAAGAAACGTCCACGGAACTAACAACGACCTCCATCTTCATCAATGGCTACTCAATCTACCACTCCCAATATTCCGTCACCACCGCCATCGCCACCGGTCAAGGAGTCGGTCGGACGCCGGTACAAGTTCATCTGGCCTCTTCTCCTTGCTGTCAATTTTTCCATCGGAGGTACACCACATAACTTAAATACTTCACGTATACTCCTTTATATGCATATAGAAATCAATTGTCTGTGATTAGATTTCATGTTTAGATGCTATCGATCTCAAATTCTTCCCTAAATGAACAGAAACCAGATTAGGTTTCTGTTCGTGATTAACGGGTTAGATTTGTCTGTGCCTTCAATTTGGGGGTAGATCGGACCTCTGCTCTGCAGATGACGGGATGTTAGGTAATCGTTGCAAAGCATGTTAGGAAATCTTTATTCAGCTCAGATCACAAGTTAATTGGTTAAGAGGATATATATATATATATATATATATATATATATACACACACACATATATATATATATATATATATATATATATATATATATATAATATGAATCTTCTTTGAAGCCACGGTTCTCGGTGCTTGAAATTGATGCGTTTCATGGTACATTAGTAGCAATTTCCATAGATTTAGGATTTAAAATGAACTCTAGGGTTTTATTTTGTCTATTAGCATGGAGGAATGTGCAATCCTGTAGTAGATTTGGGGAAGTAGTTTGCTTTGTAAGGGGCCATTCACCCAATGCTTATGCATCGGCGAGAGAGATCACCCTCAAGCAGGGGCCGTTTACCCTTACCTGATAAGCGTTTACCAAGTCAAATTACATTAATGATGGGCATGACAAGGACCAAGAATCTTATGCCGTAAAAGCGATGGCAAAGACTGAGAGTCTTACCCACTAAGTGAGAGTGACGACTCTTACCTAGTTAGCAGTGCGGGTAGCTTGTTAGATAAGATGCCATTTTGATGGACTAAAATCTTATCCAATAAGATAATTGATACTGTTGAATCTTGCCGGTAAGCGCCCTTACTGGGTAAGTGTCGGGTAAACGGTCCCTTATCATGTGACATTTTCGATCATCAAAATGGATTGTTAGCAAGTGTAGTAAATCCGGTAAACGCTTGCTAGGTAAGACCGGAAAAGACTCTCGGTCCTTGCTGCCTTTTATTGGGTAAGATTCTCAGTACTTTTGATATACAATTGGTAAAGTAAGTAGTAAGCGCGACGTAAATGTTTAGTAAACAACCATAATATTTATATACGAAAAATACTCACGCACACTTTTCCCCTTCAGTAATATTTGAACCTTTGACCTCGAGGGAGGAATGACCCTTTGGTAGTTCTATAGTTGTAATTCGTTTTGGTTTCCTTATCATTTTGTGCTAACCCGATAAGTGAAATTAATGATACTGATTGTGTAGTTGCTCGGTCAGCATCATTACTCATACAAGTCTTTTAGGTAAACCGGACTGGATTGGATTTGGAGGGATTTGAAATGGAACTGAATTCCATTCTACTCCCAAGTCGCAAGTTCAGTTTGAAGGATTTCCTGGATTTAAAATCCCATAAACATAGGATTTTGAGATCTCACGTGGTGGTTGGTGTTTCACCGGATTTTGTACGACTTGTATATAATAATATTATAAAATATGTTAAAATCTTTTTTTTAATATTCAATTAATAAAAATGTAATTTAATCATTTTTATAAATATTCATAGTTTGTTTTTATGAATTATTTATAAATAATGAAATTCAATTTCATTCCAAATCCTACAAACCAAACACACCAAAGATTTCAAATCCTTCCAATTCCAAATCCATGAAATCCAAATCCTCCCACTATTACCTTAAATGATAACTAGTATGCCCTTTATATACAAATTATTTGAATGGTTGTATAGGTAGAGATAAGTAGTACAACACATTATCAACATGTTATATGAATGCTCGACAGTTTTAGTACATCTAGATTTAGTTGGTAAAGATGTCAATTAAAAAAAAAGCTAATATAAACTTCTGCAATGTTTGTATAATACCGTATCAACATGTACCAAAAATGTTGGTAGCCTAGCAGTGTCGTATTCTTTGGCTTCTTAGAAGGTTAGGGGTTCAAACTTTACCAAAGGTGAGGAGGATGTGTGAGTTTATTTGTTGCATTTGCCATATATAAATGTTATATACTTAAAAAAAAATTACGTACCAATTATAATTAGTTGGTACATAGTATATTGAAAAAAAAAGACATGGTACCGTACCATGTCCATCCCTACCTTTAACAACATGCCATTCTTCACATTTCATAGCTTATCTTTTCACGAGAACAAATAAGGAGGAGAAGACCGAAGGAGAGGCACCGCCTACACTGGTAGTCACGTCTACACCGGTAGTCACGTCTACACCGGCTTCAACTGCCATTTCAACTGCATCACTGAGCCATACACCAACACCACCTCACGCCATCGCGGAGCCGGTGAAATCAATCCCCGTGGATCAGCAACGAGAGCTCTTCAAGTGGATGTTGGAGGAGAAAAGGAAAGTGAGAACAAAAGATCCTCAAGAGAAAAAGCGAATTGATGAAGAAAAAGCCATACTCAAACAATTCATCCGAGCAAAGTCCATTCCGTCTTTATAACGGATAAAACTCGAAGATTGTATGCATCCGGAATTGTACATGTGGTTTGTTTCGATGTTTCCAGACAATCAATGATAATTGTTTCTTTTTCATTAACCTGGATATCCAACCCGCTATGCTAGTCGACTAAACTCAGGGAGACTACCTGCAAATCACCGCATTTGAACCTTCGTGGCCACAAAGGGATATTTATTCCTCATTGGATTTAAACCTTGGACCTCCAGACACTTTGACCTTTGGATACCAAGCTTAAACCAATCAGGCACCATCATTGTGGTTATTGCAATTGTTGTTATTGTCATAAGGGTATTCATGGTGCGGTTAAGGCCAAAATGCAAACCCTACATCACGTATACCACAAACCGTAAAGAGACCGCACTACATTTGTTTATGTTGTTTGTATCCAACACATTTTAGTCCAATAATTATAAAACCACTTTTTCAAAATAGAGCCGACAAGTGATGTTTCCGTATTCCATATAATAGAAAGTTCCAATACATACAGAATGTGTAATTAAAAATACTGTAACGCAGGTTAAAAGCGACTTATAATTAATCCAAAAACATCTGAAAAGTTAATATTAAAATAAATTCGACCATAATATTTGGCAAAAGATAAAAGATAATAACTCAAATAAGAAATATGTAACGTAAAAGTATGTATATATAATGTGACGATGGATCATGTGAAAATAACAGTTATGATGAGAACACTTCTAAACCTTTGAATGAGTTGGCATTTATCTACCTTCAACTAAATTTATTTACATTTTTTTTCAAATTTATTTTTACTTTTTAAGTCATTTTTATGAACTTTTACATAATTAATCATTTTCACATGTATGAATTTGTTAAAATTTTGATCATGATGATAAAAGTAAGTAAATGCAGATAAAGTCATATGAATGTTTTGTATTCACCTTCTCACTTCTCACCATAACTCTTATTTTCACTGGAATCCAATCATATATAATATACATTTAAAAACATCGGTGTGGTTTGAAACGCGGTTTAAGAATTCAAAACCGTAAATACACACTATAAAGTGCACTTTGATAAAATGCAAATCACACCATGAAAGCTCTAAACCGTCTATTGTAACGCAATGTGTATGGTTTGTATGAATTGACCGTTAAATGAACAACCTTAAGGTGGCATTTGTTTTAAAAAATGTGTTAAAGTCTAAAGTCTTATTTAACTTCTGATTTATAAGAGATGATGCTGACGTCTGAAATCTGAATCAATAAGACTGTTTGTTTTTATAAATTGATAAACGACTGAATTTGTTTAGATTGTCTATTTTATCCATTAAAAAAATTATATTGATGAATTTATAAATAAAATTTATACAATTTCACATATTTATTCATCATCATTACGAAATTTACATTTAAATTATATAATTAACATTCATTTAAACGAAGATATGTCATTAACGTATTTAACACATTCAAATCCTATTAAAATACATCAATTAAGAGACGTGAGGATTGATCGAGAGAAATGACCGACTAAGGTTAATCGATTGAGAAAATGTCGTTGTTGAGGGTTTGAAGAACAATAAGAGACAAATAAGAGGTTAGTTTACCTCTTACCAGATAAGAGGACAATTAGACATAACCATCTCTGAAAAATTAGAAAAAACAAGCAATCTAAATGACCTTACCTCCTATCGAATCAGATATAAAAAACAATTAACGATAACAAATTCAGACATTTATTAGTTTACAAAAACAAACGGTCTTATTGATTCAGATTTCAGACGCAACACCATCTCTTATAAATCAGAAGTGAAATAAGACTTCAGAAACAAGGCCTAATTGTTATAGAGATATTTATTTCATTCATTATTATTCACAAAAATAAATTTATATTAACGGTAAAGAAAGAAGAATAATGGCGTGCTTTACATATTAAAACAATGAACGATTTCTCAATCCTTTAAGAATTAAAAAGGGTTGGGAAAAATTTGTTTCGTTTAAATAGAAGAATACAAATTTTTGAACACTTGTCGTTTACCAAATACTTACCCAAGTAAGTGCTTACCAAGTCACATTACCTTACCAGATGAATATAATAAGAACCAAGAATCTTATCTGGTAAGAGCGAGATAAGGACCAAGTGTCTTACCCGGTAATTGAGGGCGACGAGTCTTACCACAGTAAGCGCTTACTAGGTAAATTGTTGCACACGATATCGTTTAGTGGACTAAAAATCTTACCGGGTAAGTGTTTGGTAAACGACTCCTAACCCTATAATTGACACTTGACGACCTAAGTAGTAACAAGAATAACGGTCACCGACGCCGTGGCACATCAACGTTATGTTGATGGAAACTATCTTCCACTCCGGTGTTGAATATAAAACTCGGGAAGGCGGTCGTCACTTCACTAACAAATGCATAAAAAAAAGATTAGGACGAACTGATGCAATTCATACAAGAACGGTTTTAAACGAGAACAGTGACCAAACAAGAATTTATGAGATTTCATTGTAGAGAGTTAAATCTGATTGACTTATTGGAGGACCCATTGGCGTGATTCCGGTAGGAATTAAACGTATGAATTCGTCAATTATGAGTTGGGTGCTTTACCCATTCAGCCATGGATAACCCTGGACCAGTTAAGACTCTGTACAACTAAAAGAACACAAGGACGGCTAACTTATATATGGTTTTACACTAAAATGTAAACTCACATGTAATTACGTGCGACCTTGTTCTCTAATTACATGTGATTTGGTCATTCTTACATTCTCTTATTTTGATCATGTTCTCTATAAAGTATTTAAAAATAAAGAGAAACTTGCTAAAAAGTTACTTTCTAAAAACATGATATGCAAATTAAGAACCATTAAGAGCACAAAATTAAGAGCTTATTTGCATTATATTCTGTTTCATCAATACCTATGAGTGAATTGGTAAAAGTTAGATTGAAATCATTTTGAAAAAGGATGTTTTATTTTCTTTAAAGACAATCCAATATGAATATTGTTGCCTTTTTTTAAGGCATGAACTACCAACGAGTCTTTGACCTAACAGTATCCGAGCCTTTAGTCTCTCAGGAGGTCAGGAGTTCAAACCTCACCTTTGATGAGGAAGGTGTGTGAGTTTATTTGTTGTATTTGCCGTATATTAATATTATGTACTTTAAAGAAAAGATGCACAAGGTGGTAAAAAGGGACAAGGGTGATGGTGAATTGGTGATGCTTGAATGGTACCTTAGATTGGGAAGGGTCATGTTCTTCAAGAGTTGTGGTCGTTGAATGACAAAGTTCTTCCACTCTTCTTTGTTGATTCTTCCATCCATGTCAGCGTCAGCATCTGCAAAAGTCTGAGTACGCAAACATACAAGCGAAAATGAAAGCCTGTTCATCGGACGAAAAGAATGAATAATCGACTGTGAGAAGTCTTGCCTTATCAAGTATCTCTTCAAGAATTTCGTCTGAAAGATGCATCCCGGTTTCCCTTAAAGTGGCAACAATCATTTCTCTAACCTGATAATGTGAGAATATGTGGAACTCATTAGATTACTTTTTAAAAGAGCCCCCCCCTGGGAGAATGAGGGTTCCAACATATATTCAAAAGAAATGGTTCAAATCTAGTAGATATGGGACTCCAACACGCCCCCTCCAATGAAGGTTAAGTGATCATAGCTTGTCCAAAGTGTCGAGAGGGGCTAGATGGGTGAGGAGGCCAAACAAGTACAAATTGCCATAGAGTATTGACTCCATTTCCATATATGGAACCCCATTTCTCGAGCTAGTACAGATTGCTATGATACAATGTGAGAATATGTGAGACCCATTACGATTACTCTTCAAAAGATTGCTTAGTATATCTCCAACAGATTCTTCAAAATGGAAAAATTGTTTTGGGCAAATTTTTGCTCCAAAACTCTCTTCAAAATGGAGAAAGTAGGAGAGAGGGTGTGAAATTCTCCAAAATGATTACCATGAGAGAAATAATTTTTTTTATATTTCCACCAAGAAGAAATTTTGATGCTATATATTTAAGAGAGAAATAATTTTTGGAGAGAGGGTGTAAAATTCTCCAAAATAGAGAGTAAGCTGAATGTAATTATTTTTGGAGATTTTGCATTTTGATTCTCCATTTTAGAGAATCAATTGGAGATGCTCTTAGGAAAGAAAGGAGGTTCCAACAAGTATTGAGAAGAAATGGTCTGTGGGACTCCATGAACCATTAATTGTTAATGAGTTTGAGAAAGATTTTCCAAATTGGAAAAAGGTCAATTACTTACTTCTTCCCGTTCAATGTACCCAGTTTGTCTCAGATCATATAATCTGAAGGCAACTGCATAAAGGAAAAGGTAAGAAAAGGTAGTGCAAGATAAAGACACCTGCAAAGAAAAATGATCCACCTGAATTCAATTTCTCATAACTTACAATCAATCTTTTGTTCAAGTGAAGCCGCAGGATGGAAGATGCTCAATACATGGATAAACTCCTCAAATTCAATAACACCATTTTGCTTCTCGTCAAATAGATCGAAAACCTAGATATAAAGGTTAAATTGGAGCATATTATGGCCTGAAACTTATTATTGCATAGTGCATATGACTGAAGTAATCTTCAGTCAGACTCATCATGCATTTGGTCTGAACATGCATTCATATGGATATCAACAGAATATGTTCCTTAGGCTTGGCTTAGGTACAATACTGAATCCAGTGGAATTATATTGTTATAAGTTGGTACTCTACAACTCTACTTTCCAAGAAAAAGATTGTAAGAAACCTTCAATTGACTGTCAATAGATTATCGTACCAGGTTACATTCCCAAACTATAATGTAGAAAAACATGGACTGTAATTAATGATTACCCTGTTCATGAAAAGATTATCTCCACCTGATGATTCTAGCAAAGCCAGTTGGAGCTCTTCCTGAAAAAGACAAAAACAAGGAAAAGATGAGGCATGTATTATTATGAAGTGAATATTGGTGTACATTGTGAACTTCCTTTTCATTTACAATAATTTTCTATTAACCCATGCATCCGTCTACAGGCAGGGGCGGATCCAGCCTTTAAGTACCAGGGGAAAGGCCCCCAGTCAAAAACCAAAAACCTTTGTTGACTAGCTTAAATTTTATATTTTCACCCTCATCTTACATGGTTTCCTCCTAATCCCGTATGGCCATATGCTTCCCTCCTCCAAGTCTCATCCAACATGCCCCTACCCCATTAATTTCCTGGATACCGCCACTGTCTACACAGGGAAATGTGAGATTCCCCATAGTTCTCCAAAATGGAGAACCAAAAGTAAGCATCTCCTTGAAAATTACATTCAACTAATCTAACAGTTTTTTTCATTTTAGATATTTTAACATTAATCATATTATTAAATATATTTAATACCCCAAAAAACTTTACAACAGGGTTTATACATAAGCCGATAATACATTCAACTTCGTTGGTGGAAACAATAAAAAAATATTTCTATCTCTTCAATGTTTAATTCTGGAGAATTCTCCAAATTTGGAAATTAATCATTCTCCCTCCCTACTTTTTCTATCTTGGATAGACTTTTGGAATCGGTGGGAGCAAAAACATAATCTGTAGGGATGCTCCAAAAATACCTAATAGACTAAATGGAGGAATTCTGCCTTTGGTCCATTGACTAAGAATGTACAGCTTGATAACGCCATTAAACATTCCCTGGCTTCCATAAGATATAGTTCCATTATCGGGTAATTTCTGTTGCTTCTTGTTGTATCAATTACTACCTACAATTTCAATGCCTTCTATGTACTTCCATTTATCTCTGTGCTTTGCTTTTCATACTATCAAGTATTGCAAGCATGTGTTTAGACCAGTTAACTGAAATCAAAATTGGTAAATCGAGTGATAGATATGGAGATTTTGAGGTAACTGAAGGAGCTAGAAAGCTACCTTGTGTATGAGTCCATCGTCTATAATCGAACTGCTCAACTTATTGAACAATTCCCGCAATGCTTCCACTTCATTAACCGAAACTGAAACAATTCCCCGTGTCAGAAAATGCGAAACGATCTCAACAGTCAGAACCTAATAAAATAACAAGTCGGAAGATGATGCAACAAACGGACATGGAGAATTACGAGCGAGATGACGGATGTCGTCAAAAGTCTGGGGAGGCTTAACCGAACGGCTTCGATGAGCATCGAAACAAGACGATAAGCTGTAGACCACAACCTCAACTAAAATTGCAAACGGAATCAACGCCGCACATAACTTTTCTCCCACCGTCAGCGAGCTCGATCTCTATTTCTCCTAATCCAGATTCACATTTTCAGTCTCATACATAAACAACAATCATACTTGAATCACAAAATAAACGAGTAAAAAACAAGCGCTGGTTTAGTTCGAGTGGAAACCGATGTATATTTGAATAACTGAATGTTAGAGAGAGAAAAATACCGAGGTTGACGAGCTCGCCGCCGTGCCCATAGAGGCCGGAGATATCTGAAACTTCTCCGATTGATGTTTTACGTACCAATGAGAAGATCAAGGTTTGTTTGAATGTCGAAATCGAATCTAAATCCTATCGTTGGATTATGAAAATCTGTAAACACGAATCACGAGATTTCATCCTGGTGTTCATAAAAACCGTAAAGATCCCTAAAATTTGTGAATTGAAGTAACGAAACAAGTCCACATATTCTTATTGGATCAGGGTCGGGATCTGGATCCACCATTCATTGAAAAGATACAAGTGGACCAGCTTTGGAATAGATAAATAATAGTCAAAGTCAATTGTCGATTTGATCCGCACCGATTATCTACTCTTACAGGCTTGTTAATAAGATTCAACACTTTTATTTAATTTATTGGGTATGATTTTAATCTATTAAAACGATATCTTATGCAACATTTTTATCTGATAAATATTTACCAGATAAGATTCGTCACTCTCATTTATTGGGTAAGACTTTCAGTCCTTATCTTACGTTCTTACCGGATGAAATTCTCAATCATTTTCATATTTATCTGATAAGGTGAAGTGACCTGGTAAACACTTACAAGATAAACGTTCCATAAACGACCCCTTAGACTTGTTGTTTTGTATTTTTGTTGAATTTGGTCTCTCACCCTAACTGTTATATATCTTTTTGTTGATTAGAAGGATAATTCTGTCTTTTTACAATGTTCCTCCATTTTAACCTTTTTTTTCTTGATTCTTAATCTTTTCATCTGATTTTTGTAATTAGTTAATAAATCTTTTTAGTATTAACCGGTCCATTTTGACCAGTTTAAAAAAAACCAACTTCATCTAAACTTGTTTTAATCCTTTATTAATCGTCAGCTTTACCACAACTAATTTAAGTTAAATGAAACATGACATTTTAAGTCAAACATACCCATATGGATAAAAATCACCTGTTTCACGTCTCATTCATGTCTACTAATCACATGAATATGCATAATCAGAGTGAAAACATGAATTGCGTTTCTCACGGGAATTAATCTGATGCATCTTATTAGTGTTGATCTTCAACTAGGATTGATCCAATGGTGGATATTCATTCCTACAATTCTCATCATAACTTTCATTCTCAACGGAACCCAATCAAAGGGTTAGAATCGTAAATAAATATGTATTGAGGGGCTACATTTGAAATTCACTCTTTAAGAGGGTCCAGCGTGACACAACCATCTTGAACTCCCCAATTACTCCTGTACTACCAAGTACCAATAAATTCCACCCCCTTCCCCCCAAATTCGTCCGGCTTCGATCACCGGAGAAAATGACGATGTACGGCACGATTCCGGCGTCTTCAGATGAAGGTACGAATCTCAAGTTCATATCCACTGCAAAAGCAAGCATCAAATCTGGATTAGGCACACGACGTCCATGGAAACAGATGTTCAATCTCCGTTCGATTAACTTTCCTCACGGCGTCTCCGATGCGTTTTCACGAATCAGGACGAACGTTGGTTACTTTCGTATGAACTACGTGATAATCATGCTCTTGATTTTGTTCTTTAGCCTGTTATGGCATCCGGTTTCGTTGATTGTATTTGTGGTGATGATGGCGGCCTGGTTGTTCCTCTACTTCCTCCGTAACGAGCCTCTGATGATATTTCACCGAATAATCGATGATCGTGTGGTTCTGGTGGTTTTGTTTGTTGTAACGATCGTTTTGTTGCTGTTGACTGGCGCCACGATGAATATATTGTCGTCGATTCTGATTGGACTGGTTGTTGTGGTGGTTCATGCTGCTTTGAGGTGTACGGATGATTTGTCCTCAGACGAAGAACGCGTAGAGGCAGGTGGATATTTGGCGTCTTCTTCGTCCTAGAAGGTAGACAAATAGTTTGCGTTTGGATTGCAGCTCTTCATTTGTTAATCATAGGTACTACTACTAATCTTTAGCTGCCTACTCGTTATTGATTCGTTGCCATGGCTAGCTTCTGTTACTTGTTTGATTTTTGCACGATTCTTATGTATCTACGTAGCTATATGTGTTAGACACGAGATTCAATTTGTGTGCAAACTTCAATTCCTTCCATTGAAAGACAGTTGCTGTCTATTTCTGTTCAAGCATCAAGTTTTGTGCGTAATTTCCTGTAGCACGTATGAATTTGCATTACATGCTTAATGATTCTGTGAGTAAGATTAGTCTGTTTTACTTCAATAATCAAAACTGCAATTTCATTGGAATTTCAATTATTTGAGTTTCCATTCTACGCATTATGATTTGACACTCAATCTAAAGTTTAAATTGGACATTTGGATGAATTTGTTTAGAGAAATGAGGAGGTTTAAGCTACAAATGTGCTTACGTGCTGTTTGGTTGGTTTTCCATGCAGTCCTATATGAATAATTAATTTGTTTGTATAGATTATGAAGGTTTTTGTTTCGTAGGGTTTTTTATAGATGAAACGAACATGTTTTTTTAACTTGGAATGACATGTTATGACATGTCTGGAAAAAAAACTTGGCTTTCTGCATAAGGCCCCCTCCTAAAAGTTTATTGAATAAGTCACGTTCTATATCATTAAGCCACTACCAAACAGTCACACACACACACACACACACACACACACATATATATATATATATATATATATATAGGGTATATTTCAAATGCAACCATGTTCATTTGTACAATCAATGCAACCCAATGAATTGAGATATTTATAGAATTGATGAAAGTTTATTTATTATGATTTGAATATTTATGGAAGATGAATAGAGTTTATTAACTATGATCAATACTTTATATTAGGAAACAATCAAAACTTTTATGAAATCACATATTCATCAAACTAAATGGACGGTTGAGATTGGGTTGTATTGGTTGTACATATGTAAATGGTTGTATAATAACCAACCCCTCTCTCTCTTTATATATATGACCGAAAACTTATCATTATTTTCCTTCTGTTTCCTATCCTCTCTCCTAAAAAGTTTCGAGAAGACAAGTTTATTTTACTTTTCTTCCATTTCATTTCCTTCATAAAAAAAGTTTTGAGAACACATCAACCCTTCTTTTGTTGTAGCAAGTTCTATCTCAAGGCCATCTTCAAGCTATATATTTTGTGTTTTTATTTGCTATGAAAATCCTCAACGATTTATCCGTTTTCCTCTTTTACAGGGATCTACAATAAGGAAATCCCTCGATAGCCACTAAATACAACTACCATTTGTGTATAATCCATATTAGATTCGACCAACTTCCCATCCTATCTTCCCTACGTTCTCAGCTACCCATCAATGTAGTCTTCACAAGACTCGAAATTTCCATGTTTTGATCCTATCTTCCCTACGTTCTCAACTACCCATCAAGGAACTTTTTTGTTGTTGTGGTTAATACTTGGTTTTATATTTAAAAAGATACAAAGTCGTTTTTGTGTGGTGGTTTGTTTTAAAATACAGTTTGATGAGGGTTTGTGTTTGTAAATTATAAGAACATCTTCAACATATTCTTTAAAAAGATAGAAATAAGAGATTTGAAAGGTTTTTACCTTTTTTTTTGTTTTAGGACAAATTGCATGAAAAAATAACGTACTTTAACTTGATTCCTATTTTGGGTAACATATTTTTAGAACCTTCATTTTGATACCTAATATGTAAAGTTTTAAACATTTAAGTATTCGGATAATGTTTGAAGCATTAACCGGTTATTATGCTGATGTAGCGAGTGATGTGGTATCCAACTCAGTATTATTTGCTGACATGGTTGGTGACATGAATTTTCTTTAATCTAAAATTAGTCTTCAACCGGTTACCTGGGTATTTAAATGTTTAAAACTTTACATCTTAGGTATTAAAACGAAAGTTTTAAAAATACATTATCCAAAATAAGAATCAAATTAAAGTACATTTATTTTTTATATAATTTTCCAAAACATTTCCTCTACAACTTCTTTCAAAATAGAAAAAGTAGTATGAAGGAAACAAAAATGTTCAAAATAGACGGAAACGTGCTTTTTATTGTTACAGCTAGGGGTGTAAATGAGACGAGACAACTCGCGAGCTACTCGAAATCGACTCGGTCAAAACTCGGTCAACACTCGACTCGAA